GGTAACTTACAAACATTTATGCTGCCACTTGTAAAATCGAATGATTAGGTTTTGTGAGTAATGAAGTTGTTATTTTCTTGACAACTTTCAAGCAATTACGCGCCCACTTGTAAAATAAATAAAAAAATTAAGTGGTGATCTATTACTGAGTCTTGTGAGTGTTAAAGTTGTTATTTCATTAGTATCTTACAAACACTTACGCGCCCACTTGTAACATTTAAAATAAGTGGTAATCTACTATTCAATTTATCGATGGTAAAATTATTAATTCATTAATAATTTACAAAAAATTGATCGAATTCATAAATTACTGGCCACTTTTTAGTTATCACTGATATTTTAGTTTTACTACCGACAATTGACTTAACGAATTCGCACCAAATTTTAGAGTGTGTTTATTTTACGGAAAATGAATGTTTTGAAAAACAATTTCCTAAAGATGATAACTTATATCGCTAACAAAATTAAATGAATAAAAAATATTTTATCATCCACAAAACAAGTTAGATATAATTTTTGTCTATAATGAAAATATTTTTTATTGATTAATTTTTTCAAGCGATACAAGGGATCATTTTTTGAAATTTTTTTATAAATCATTCATCTTCCGTAAAACAAATAAAGAATCGAGGGCACCACCACGACAATTATAAGGATAGTGACTGAAAGCAACAGTAGCCATAATGAAGGACCAAGGGCAACCAAAGTACTCGCGCTCAATCCCCGTCCATCTCGTGCGCCATTTCCTCCAATGGTATTTGGACCCTCGCCCGAATTATTGGATCAAGTAGCTCAAGTCAATATCAAACGTGACATCCCTCACAAGATCATTCAAGAAGTTGCATCAATAATCAAGAACCGCTGAAACCCACCACAGGTTCAACCACGTGATTTGATGAATTTGCATTCCCAAGTCAAGCCAACTTAAGATAGTTCCGCATAGAGACCAAAAAAAATTAATGGTACGATATGATAAGAATTATGGACCAAACACACCTGCATCGAAATCTCATACAAGGTTGATCGACTTCTCGGGCTCTCGGGCAATAGTTTGGAGAGTCCAATGCCAAACACATTGGCGATCTCAAAAGCGCTTTATGTCCTCAAAGTATTGCATAATACCATCTTGGGTTCAACTCCTCTTCTTTTAGGGAATTTGGGGCAGCTCGAGTCATTGGACCTGTCATGGAACTACCTCAATGGAGCCATACTGACTCAGCTTGCAAATCTTCATTTCCTTTCATTCCTAAACCACTCAAACAATCAACTTGTGGGAAGCATTCCGACAAGCGGACAGCTTCTCACATTTTCCAAGAGTTCCTTCAAAGGAAACCTTGGATTGTGCGGGCTTCCGCTCGACAAAAGTTGCTCAATTACCGCGAACGGGACGGAAGAAGCAGGTAGTGTTCCAACTCAAAGCAACACAGATAACGACAGCGACAAAATTGAAGGCGAGAAGAATTGGTTTTACATGAGCATACTGCTTGGATTCGTGGTTGGCCTCTAGGTATTTTGTGGTCAATTAGTGCTTATAAGATTATGGAGGTTTGCTTATATCATTTTGGGATAAAGTATTATTCAGACACTCGCATCCACGAAGATTTCCGCTAAGATTTTAGATGTTAAACTTAAAGAGTATTTCTTTTGTCTATTAAAGTATTTACTTATTAAATCGCATTTTTATCAAACAATTTAAATTTTTAGAATAGTTGACAGTAAGCTCATAAAATTTTAATTGGTATAGAGCATGAGATTATGAATTCAAATATTTTCAGTTGCCTTAATTGCATCCCTTCTTCCTTGTTATATATATCGACCCTTAATCTTAGACGAAAGTCCATCCTAAACGTTAGGAGTGTTAGGATATTTAAATAGCTATATATGAAAACTTAGTTTAAAACTTTTATTCATCACCATTAAAAAAGACAATTCTCTTTATCGATCAATAGAAGTCTTGCTTACCAATCAAGAAAATAAGCACGTCTGCGTCTAGCATAGAAATTAGAATATGACAAAATTACATAACCATTTTCGCGAAGATTTGGAGTGAAAAATTGCAATGGAGAAAATTCTTTAGTGATGATTATTTTAACTAAGATGGAATGCTTTTTAATTGGTGAAGTCTAAACCTAAAGCCATAATGCTATTAGAAACTAGTTGAAGGCCCCTAAGGTCGGATTTGAAAATTTTACTTTGCAACATTATTTAGCTGCCAAATAAGAAAACTAAGGAATATTGAGGATCAATTATATCATAAGTCCTAAATTTTATAACAAAAGTATGACCACGTGTAAGAACTTTTAGATAGTTCAATCACATCGTAAATTTGTCCATTACAATCAAGTATTTTCATTATTTACTTCCATGAAAAAAATTAACTCGGAATTTTTTATATGCTCAATAAAATTTGGAGTTGATGTGGATTTAAGTGAACGACATATTAGAAAAATGCAAAATCTCTCTCTCTCTCTCTCTCTCTCTCTCTCGAAAATATTCGGTGATTAGTAACCACCGCATTATCAGTCTATGTGGCATGTGAGCCTAGTTAACACTACTCAAGGGGCAACTTGTGTCATCTGACATGGACTGGCTGAAAAAAAAGAAAAAAAAGCTTTCTTTTCTCTTGTGGCCAGCAGAAAAGGACTAAGTAACAATAAAGTCTAAAAATTAAAATCCCACTTAAAACTCTCTTTCTTGTCTTTTAAATTTTCAAGGGCTTCTTTACTTGCTTTTCTAGAGAAGAACATCGAGGACTCTCTCTTTCTCTAGGATTCCCCCACCACCTCGACCTCTCCTAAGTGCCTCACTGGTCGCTTGGAGCTCAAATTTGCCTCTGGCATGCCACCTCCCCCAAGAGCCCCTCCACCTTTGCCGTCACCTTCGGAGCCCCATCGGCGGCTACGATTCATCAACTAACTCCTCTCTCTCTCTCTCTCTCTCTCTCTCTCTCTCTCTCTCTTCACAAGTATAACATAGACAAGGCCTTCCTCCTTCAATAACATGTGCACACGCTATATTGCGAAGGGACGCAATCGGAAGGAGGCCCAAAAGAAGTTGTTGAGGCTAAGAGAGAATGGTGCGATCGTAGTATACATCACTAGGGTTCCCCAAGAAACCGGCGCAAGTAGACCTTGTGCTCAATCCCCGCGTTGGAAACGGCTGGGGATTTGGTGCCGTCCGTTGCGCGTTGGCGTGATCGTGCATGTGTGAGAAAGAAAGACAAAGAGAGGAGTTAGCTAACAAATCGTAAACCGCCAATGGGGCTCAAGAGACGACGACAGAGGCGGAGGGGCCTTGGGATCCAGCAGCTACAACCAGCCGGACTCTTGCGGGAGGCGACGTGCCGGAGGCAAATCTGAGCTAGGAGCGACTGACAGGGCACTTGGTAGAGGCAGAGACAGAAAGGGACTACTTAAGAAAGAGAGAGAGTGTCCTCGTTGTTCTTCTTTAGGAGAGTAGGTAAAGAAATCCTTTAAAATTGAAAAGAGGAGAGACAGAGTTCTAATCGGGATTTTTATTTTTAGCATTTATTGTTGTTCAGTCCTTTTCTATTGGCTAGAGGAGATAGAAAAGAAAGCTTTTTTAATTTTTTATTTTTCAGCCAATCCATGTCATATGACATGTGTCACCTCTTTAATGGAGCTGACTAGTCTCACGATAGAGTAATGACGTAGTGATTACTAATCACTAAATATTGACACATAGAGTAATGACGTAGTGATTACTGAATATTTTCTCCCCCCCTCTCTTTACTTTTTTTTTTTTGGCCAAAATCAAATACTTTTCATTGATATCTAGTAAAACCATAACCCCTTTTCAGAATCTCAAAACAGAGCAAGTCTCTAAGGGCATGCGGAGGATAAATCAACCAGTGATCAGTGAGTGTTTTGTTTCTGTGGGTCTTCGCTAACCAGTCCGCGACACTGTTTGTATTTCTATTACAGTATTGCAGTTTTAAATTAGTAAAGTCTCTCTTTACCTATTTGCTCATTCTATTCCCCTACTTTTTTCTTTATATATCTTTTTCTAATGCGGTGCCATCAGCACTCCATGCTTTCCAAAAAAATAAAAATAAAATACCACGTCAAAATAGAAGAAATTAATGGAAGCACCTCTTTACACTTTTTTTCATAAATTTGGAATTCGATTGTAATTTTTTACATTTTTATGATTTGATTGCACTTCTTTTTTACAAGTTTTAGGTTCATACTCGCCGACAAAAATTCCAAACCCCACTTGGAAATCAGTCTTGGTCAAAACTGGACATTTCAATCTAGCACATGGTCGAGACTTTCTGCTAGAAGACACTGGGGCAAAAGAAAGAAAATTTGGACAATGGTTAATTACCTTACATCTAACTCGGAAGTCAGCCCGACAGTTACATTCCCATTACGGACCCCCACAATACAATTAAATTAATATTCACATGAATTTCTTAACAACGATGGTGTCACACTAGTCAAGGTTACTAAAATAATGGGAACCCTTAAGTAGACCGAAGCACAAATAAGAAAACAACAATCATCATCGATAGAAAATTTTCGTTTTCAATCGGCTATCAAGCTTCAACGAGTGATGGAAAGGTACTTTATTTTGGTTGAAATCAGGCGATAATTTCAGCGACCATTTCATCCATCCGCTGAATCCATCTCCAATCAAATAAAAAACCGGGTCCATTCACATGAAAACCGAATCCATCTCAAATTCAATCTTGGCTCCTGCGGGTTACGACGAGCATGGACCAAACACGAAAAAACCTCACGCTTCTTGAAGCGCAATGTCCCAATCTTTCCAAACCCTAAACCAAACTTCGGATTTGGGCACTTGTTAACTATCTCTATTTTCGTCATTGACTAGCTCGCATTCCAATTCCCAAAGCTGGTCATATCCCACCCAACCGAAGTTTGATTTTTTTCCGGGTTTGGCCAGCGTCTGAAATTGAGAAGAAATTGGCACCAAGAAATCGGCAAACGAATAAAGAAATGCCGACAAACACAAAACGCGCTTTTGCTGCTATTCCCTACACATGAGTCCGCGAAAAAACGTAGCATCGACAGTCCCACAGCTAACGTACACATTTGACAAAATCGTCCCCTCCGGCAGGCGTGCACTTTGACTGCTCCCTGCTCCCAATCTGAACCGTCCCCTGTTTTTCCTCCTCCTCCTCCAACCTGCAATTCTCTGTTCTTGAAATTGCCCAATTCGCACGAAGTTTTCCAGATCCCTCTCTCTAAAAGGTCGACATGTTTATGGGCTTTCGATCTCTTGAACTCGGAGTAGCTGGCTCTCTCGATTACACGAGTGCCTCCTGATCTGCTGGAAACAAATGAGGATTTGGCTCCTCTTATGGCTGGTCTTAATACTCGCGCAAACCAACCCCTTCAGCATAGGCAGGATTTTGGTTTCGGGCCAGTGTCTTGGCGATCATCAGAAATCGCTGTTGCTGGAATTGAAGAATAGCCTCAACTTCAACGCTTCTTTGTCCGCGAAATTGGTGACATGGAATCAGAGCAATGATTCTTGGGACGGCGTGACCTGCGAAGGTGGCCAAGTGACGGGTCTTGATCTGAGCTTCGAGAGCATCACCGGTGGACTTAACGACTCATCGAGTCTTTTCAGGCTCAATAATCTTCAGAGGCTGAATTTGGCTTACAACCGCTTCCCATCTTTGGAGATTCCATCTGGGTTCAGTAATCTCACCAATTTGGTCTTCCTGAATCTTTCAAATGCCGGATTCGCAGGACAGGTTCCAATTGGAATATCACGTTTGACAAGGTTGGTTACTCTTGATGTATCCCTGATTTATTTTCCTGGGCTCACTTCACTGAAACTCGAGAATCCGAATCTAAAGATGCTTGTTGGGAATCTTAGCGAGCTGAGAGAGTTGTACCTTGACGGAGTGAACGTGTCTGCTACAGGCAACGAATGGTGCAATGCCTTGTCTTCTTCGCTGCCGAAACTTCAAGTGCTGAGCATGATGAATTGTTATTTATCAGGTCCCATCGAGTCTTGCTCTTCCCTCGTGAATCTTGAGTTGCTGTCGGTGATTAAATTGGACGGCAATATTCTGTCCAACACGGTCCCGGAGTTCTTTGCCCAATTCTACAATTTGACTACACTGCATCTCAGTTCTTGTGGCCTGCAGGGAGAATTTCCTCAAAAAATCTTCCGGGTACAAACACTTCAGATCCTTGACCTATCATTCAACCAACTTCTTCGGGGTTCTTTGCCAGAATTTCCAGAGAATAGTTCTCTTCAGACACTGGTTCTTAGTTTCACAAATATTTCCGGGAGGCTCCCAGATTCAATTGTTAATCTCAGAAATCTGTCAAGAATAGAATTGGTGAATTGCAGCTTTGATGGAAATATCCCAACCTCTTTCACCAATCTTTCGCGCCTGTCTTATTTGGACTTCTCATTCAACAATTTTACTGGTTCTATTCCATCACTCAGCAACTCCAAGAATCTGACACAAATCACTTTGTCTCACAATAATCTGACTGGTCGGATTGATTCAACCCAATGGGAATCCCTTTTGAGTCTTCTTATTCTCGACCTGCGATTCAATTTACTGAAAGGAAATATTCCTTCATCTCTGTTCACACTTCCATCGATTCAGAAGCTTCAACTTTCCAACAACCAATTTTCTGATCAAGTGAAGGAATTTTTTAACGCGACATTGCACAAACTGGATACACTTGATTTGAGCAATAACAACATAGGAGGAGAACTACCGAAGTTTATATGGAAACTCCGAGAGCTCAAGTACCTCTCACTTTCTTCCAATAATTTCAGTGGCTCATTCCACATTAATTTGGTTCAGCAACTGAGAAATCTTTCGTATTTGGATCTTTCCTACAATCGTTTTTCCATTAATGCCACTGCTTCCCAGGCGTCTTCATTCCCTGACCTAGGAACTTTAAAGTTGGCTTCTTGCCAGTTGAGGACTTTTCCTGAGTTCCTGGCTGAGCAACACAGATTGGTATATCTAGACCTCTCTGACAATCAAATTCAGGGCAAGATACCGAAATGGATATGGGAGGTTCAAAATCTTACGTATCTCAATCTTTCGTCTAATTTACTAGACGATATTGAAACACTGCCACCTAATCTTACTTCTACTCTGTCAGTTCTTGACCTCCATAAGAACAGGCTCCGTGGACAAACGTTGCCACTGCCACCATTTGCCACATACATGGACTTCTCGGGAAACAACTTCACTTTGGTCATTCCACCTGCTATCGATACGAGCCTTTCAGTGGCAATATTTTTCTCCCTGTCCAATAACAGTTTCCAGGGGTTTATCCCGATATCAATTTGCGAAGCTGGATATCTCGAGGTGCTCGACCTATCTCATAATAAATTGACGGGAAATATACCTGGTTGCTTAGTGAAGGAGTCTCTCAAGGTATTAAATCTGCGAAGTAATACCTTGGATGGTAGCATTATCAATTTCCCAGTAACATGTGGTTTGAAGACTTTGGATCTCAGCCTTAATATGTTACAAGGGAAGGTTCCAGAGTCATTGGCAAATTGCAGAACTCTGGAGGTTTTAGACGTTGGAAACAACCAGATTGATGACGTTTTTCCATGTCAATTGAAGAACATTTCAAGTCTACGTGTCCTTGTTTTACGATCCAACAAGTTCCATGGAGGGGTTGGATGTCCAGAGACTAGTGGCACTTGGAAGATGCTTCAAATTGTAGACATATCTTCCAACAATTTCAGTGGCCCTCTGCCTGCTAAATGCCTTGCAACTTGGGAGGCTATGAAGGCTAATCTAGACATCAATCATATCCAATATCCATTCCTTCGCTTGACGGGACTCTATTATCAGGACACAGTAAGCGTTACCATCAAAGGTCTGCAAGTGGAGCTGGTGAAGATATTGACTCTTTTCACTTCAATCGACTTCTCATGCAACAATTTAGAAGGTCCAATACCTGATACTCTGGGAGATCTCAAAGCGCTTTACGTCCTCAACTTATCAACAAATGCATTCTCAGGGCCAATTCCTCCGTCCCTAGGAAACTTGCGACAGCTTGAGTCCTTGGACCTTTCACAGAACGACCTCAGTGGGACAATTCCCACACAGCTTTCGGACCTTACTTTTCTTTCCTTCCTGGACCTCTCATACAATAAACTTGTGGGAAGCATCCCAGCGGTCAAACAATTTCTCACCTTTTCCGCAAATTCCTTCGAAGGCAATAGCGGATTGTGTGGACCACAGCTGGGAACAAATTGCTCAGATACCAACAGCTCTGACCATCGGAAGAATGATTCTGATGGTTGGGGAAGCATTAATTTTCAGTTCATTCTTGTCGGTTTGGGGTTTGGGGCAGGCGCTGCGGTGGTTGTTGCACCCCTCACCTTTTGGAAGACAGGCCAACAATGGTATGACGATCAAGTGGATAAGCTCCTCGAGGTGGTTCTTCCGATGATGGGATTTACGTACACAAGGCATCATGATGACAACTTTGAGGGAGACGAAGCTTTCGAAACCAGCAGCACAGCTGTCTTAAGCGGCTATGGTGGCAATGAATTTGATGAAGAAGAGGAAGAGGAAGAGGAAGGATCTTGGGGAAGGTATTGTGTGTTCTGTTCCAAGCTAGACCTCAGTGTGAAGAAAGTCATACATGATCCAAAGTGCACATGCTACGACTCACCACCCATGTCTTCTTCTTCCTCCTATTCATCCTCATCTTCTTCATAGGCACTTTCTTGGTCTCTACTCTGAGCTTTCTTTGCTTGCCTTAATTTTCTTTGCATCCTGTATATAACACAAATACCATAGTCAATGGTGTTGAGGACAGAACATGGGATTTCCTCGGTACGTATATAAATGAACAGCAGGGATGAAGCTTCCCGTGTGCCGCTCCGCATTTGCTGGCAATCCAATGCGGGGTAAGTCGATAGGAATCTTCTCTCGGTCATTTTGTCGAACAGGTAGAGGACCCATTACATTTCTCAAAACAACTGTACAAAAAATCTTTACCCATTGCATGGCAATTCATGCTTTTGCTGTCAATAACAATTCCACGCAGAACTTAAGCAGCTAAAATATGGTGAGGTGAGGCCATACCCAGGATAAGCAACCCCCGACTGTTCTTTACTTCCATTGCTTTTCCCGTGTCTGCAGCTTTTGGAGTAACATTCGTCAACTTTTATTTTTTCTCATATATGAACTTTCGACTCGATTAATTAGCTAAATTGCTCGGTTCATAATCGCTCTTGGGGAGGAGTTTTGTTCGAACTCCTCAACAGGGAGTTCTGTCAAGTAGACTGGTTACGGGTAGACCTGTCGAATGGACGGATCAAGTGAGAGTCTAGATGGATTGGAAATGTGTTGGATCCAAATTGATTCATTTATTTCGAAAGGACTCGTTTTTATGTAATACAATTTTAACGATTCATAACCGATCCAAGCTCAATCCACATTTGACCAAATTCATACCTAAACTTGATCGGGGTTCAATTCTTAGCAATTTTCATGTTTGCTACCATTCACGACCCAAAGGCAACTAATATATTTCCGACACAATTGTTTTGGCGTAAAAATTGCATGCATGGCTCCTAACAATTTATACTTCAGATTGCATCTCCGACATCGACATCGATTGTATTGGCCTCTTAACCCTTTTTGAGAGTTTAGAATTGGTCATCTGCCCTCGTGACTCAAATAGATTTGACAGACTGAGTTGTAAAGGCCTCGGTATATAAGACCCTCCCCCTAAACTAGATTTCTAAACCCCCTTCTCTTCTTTCGGAAATCTTGTGTTTTGATGCCCCTTACTCTTGTAGATGAGTTCGCGTTTAATGAAATGATACCATAGTTTCGAAAAAAAAAATAAACAGAAGAAAAATCCTCCACAAACCACAGATGGCTAACAGAACATATGGAAAAGAAGTCTTCCCAGTCTTCTATCTTCTGTTCTAGTTACACGAGATATTGACCTAGGGTTCTAGCACCGGATAAAGAAGATAGAAGAGCACGAATGCTTCGACTTGATCGCTAGCGTCGAGAGCAACGACGATTGAAGAGAGAAGGGGGCACGAAACGGTTCGACTTGGTCCAGAAACCGAAAAATTACTCCGGCGAGTCCGATCGCGAAATCAAGCTGCCTATAGACTGAAGGTCGGCGATAACCGGAGAATAGAGAAGAGCGCGATCTCGAGCTTGAGTTATCTTTGAGAAAAGTCTGTAGACTTGTTTTAATCTTATAATGCTAAATGAGTTGAAATATGGACCGTTTAAGCAACCTACCATTCTGACCAAAAAAATAAAGGCAAACCTACCATGATTTATTTTATGATGTATTAGTTTTTTCATTAATCTATTTTGTCTTACTTTGTTGCCAAACGAGTCACCCACTCTTATGGGGCCACCATGAGTTGCAAAACCTTTGCCAGCTCTAGTCGTGTGTGTGTGGAAGATTAGAAACTTTGCCAAAGGTAAATTTTATTTGTTTGGCAATTTTTGCATGATAGCGTGCCCCACAAAGGATATACTTTGTTTTTAGAGGCATTTAACATCACTTTTTCTTTTCAATTTCATTACCAGTTAATTTAGTGAGATATATATATATATATATAAATTGCAAAAAAGAATCGTTTAAATTCGATAGGACAAGCGTACGGGGGGAAACACTCATGATTATAGGTCAACCTTTTCCAATGCCAAAAAAAATAATTAAAATGGCCAGAGACCAATAAAATTTGACCAATATCATGTGTGAACACTGAACACGTACTTCGATTTTTCTTCCTTGTAAACTTCCTCGCGTTTTCTTTTTTTTTTTGGGGCCCAATTGGTCTTTTTAGGAAGATACATTTTTTTTAATTTTAGAAAATAAATTGAAATGGAAAAATATTTTAAAATGTGGTCAATAGTATAATTATGAAAATATAGAGATTAGATGGACCATTTGAAAATAATTTAAAGATGTTAAGCGAATTGAAAGTCGAAGGCTTATTGGCTCTTCTCATAAGTATCTTTACACTAATTCTGCCATTGCCCGTGAATTGCACCTCCTTTTTTCCAATTTCATCCCCATACTAGTACAAAATTGACATCACGAAGCTTCAATTAATTACTACGCGCCCCCTCAAAACTTCTTTTTTTTCCTCTTTTGGCCACACCCATCCCCTTAAAATCAGAAAAGAAATTCAAAAAAAAAAGCAAGAAGAAGAAGAAGAAGACTACCCACACAATGCGATATACATATGATACTCACACGAGCCAATAAAGACGGACGACATTATATTAAGCCAGAGATTGCCTCACGCCCGGTTCATCGCACGACATGGTCTCTTCACAAGCTTGAAACCACCAGAGATCTGCTAAATTCGATGGCGGTGTTGTATGATCGACGTCCACGAAGCTCGAAGAGACGCTGTCGGGCTGGCTCTGGGCCATCTGAGCCCACTGATGAGCCGCCGGGGGAGGTGCTGCGGCCGCGCCGGCAGGGACGAAGTCGGGCCAGCCGGCACGGCCCTCGTACGCCGCGTGGTGGAGCCAAATCTGGGCCTTCAAGAACTTGACGTATTGGATGGCCTCCTCGAGCATGGACACGGTGTCCATCTTGGCTCCCCCGGGGACGAGGCTCTGCAGGACCTTGAACCGGTCGCTGATGCGGTGCCGCCGGCGCCGGGCGGCCACGCTCTGCGGGTCGGTCGAGAGCCTGAGCGGCCCCGATCTTCTGCCTCTGGTCTTGACGTTCCGGGTCGGCGGCGATCTCTTCCTGTCGTCGGACTTGTTCGGAGATGACGAGGAGGAAGGTGCATTTGCTGATGAATTGGGGTTGTTCTGAAGGCAGTGATGTTCCATGAACATGCGCTGAGGGTGGTGGCTCGGACCTTAAGAAGAGTTCGGGGGTGGGTTTGATGAGTGTTGTTGAGGGGGGGTTTACGCGTAAATATAGATAGAGACTCCTGCGAGAAGCGACAAAACACTGTTTACAAAAGTGATGTTTTTAAGGATATTTGAACATGATATTCATTTGTCACATCAGTTTTATAAATAGATAAGTGTGCTCTCAAAATGTTTAAATTAATTGAGAAAGTTGCAACCGAACCCTAAAATTTGTCCAATTCATACAACTAAGTGCTTCCATAAGCTGCGCTCGATCTCATAGGAGGAAAATACCGACGTGACATTTATAAATATTCTTCATTAAGCAAGGAGTACTGATGTGGTGCCAAGTAGGCGCCACAGCGGAAAAAGGTGAATTATTACAAAAAAAACAAGAATAAAAAAGAAAATAAAATCGAGGGGAGAGAAGGAAAGAGATGAAAAGACGTCGCAGGGGTTGCAAAGGATAGAGACACCGGCAATGCCGCCACGGTTCCACCGGCGAAGTCGGTGCCGCGCCGTTGTCTCTCTCTAAAACTGATGATCCATTTTTTTTTTTTTGGTCTTTGTTTTTACTTTTTATCATTTTACTTGATGTGGCTTATACAACGCCACATCAACACTACATATCTTGAAATCTTCTTACAAATGACATTCTATCAATTAGATTAGATGGAGTCAACAAAAGTACTTGCTTGCATGAATCATATAAGTTTCATAACTTGATTGGCTTTCGTAAAAATTTTACAACTTCTCAGGCGCCTATTCCCTTTCTGAATTGTTTCTTTTTTTATTGTCTTCACACATGGAAAGGATCTTGGATAGTGATTGGTTTTTACACTTAACTTATATACTTATGCGATAGTGCTCCATCCATTTATTTAAAGATAGTATATGTGTAGGAATTACACCCGATACGACACATCTCTAATAACTTTAGTAGGATAGCTCAAGTGATAAGTATGTTATCCTTCTTTGAACTATGTATTCCAATAATTATGAGAGAGAGAGAGAGAGAGATTTTGGAGACTAGCACGGTTTAAAGGGGAGATGTCGCCACGAGAGACATTGTAGCAAAATCTTTGGTGAAGAAAATGCGTGGGCGACTTGAATTATGCAGAAATTCTATGTGCGAGTATGAGCATCCAGTAACAACTTCGAAATAACAAGACTGGCGAGTTGCCAAAGTATAGTTTTACCAGAGTTACCTCGAAATATGAACTTTTCGAACTCGTAAACTGTGCTGAAACTGAAACAAAAGGTGGATGATTCTATGACTCTTTCCATCAATCAAACGACGTCGAGGCTTTGGAAGATTAGTAGATCCTTTATTTGGAGATGACGCCTTCCCGTAATCCATCCATAGGTTTAAGAACCGATGATCCCAGCCCTATAGGCATGCCAAAGTTTTTGATGTCTTTCTACGTGAGGTAGCAAATGCCCAAGGCACAAGATGACTTTAGGTTCGATCTCGGCGGGTCTCAAACTTGGAACCTCATGAAATGAGTCGATGTTTTGTGTGAGGAATACATCGCGTGTCAATAACAAATACCATGTGACGGTGACACGTGATGTAACCGATCAATTGTAAGTGAAAAGCGAATGCACGAGGTGCCAAATAAGATGGGATTCATAGCACGCAAGTCATGGTGTGGTCGATTATAGATCACTGTCACGTGGTGTATCTGTTACACGAAATATTCTCTCTTCATCTATAATAGCGTGACCCGTTTACCATTGACCTCCCATGTTGTGGTAGCATGTAGTGATATATATGCACGATGATGAGAAATTGGTACGATAAATTAAGGGGTGAAAGGTTGTGTTTCGACGCATGTCAGTAAAACCACTAGGGTCGTGTGTTGTTCCAAATATCATGGATCAACAAGCTTCCACTTAGGTCGAGGGGAAGCTCGTTGATACCATGGCGAGGTCTCGAATCCTACTGTTCATCGATCAATGTCAAGAGCAAATCTCTCGATATAACTTCATCCTACATTGGACCCTTTGATCTCGCCTTATTAAATGTGGGGGAGGGGATGGCCCTTTTTGACTCACTGAAAAAAATAAATGCAAATTCAACGATTCGCGAAGTGATGCCACTGCAAGCATAAATACACTTGCGGGCGAAAACTCACAGAAAAGTCAGGGTAATTTCTAATGGAGATGTCAAAAGTAGTCCTCTAATGTTGAATATAACGATCGAATGCTCCAAGAATCCTATAAGTTTTGGAACTATCCAACCCTAAACAGAAGAGAAAACTGTATTAACTAACAATTAACAACAAACGTGCTCAATTAGTGCAGAAATAATTCACCAACAACGTTTGTGTCACACATGTACTCCTATCTTGTATCTATAGGATATTAAGATTTTTTGAGTACCCGACTAATTTTTACCAGACATATAGGGTAAGTCTAGAAATTTTGAGTAGGGGTGAAATTGTCCAATCAACCATAAGCCTATATACGTATGCCAATTCAATCTTAAACTATTCAAATTTGCCAATTTAGCTTAAAACCTTTGAGCGACGTTTTCAATGTAGTCATTCTGGCCAACTTTCGCCTGAAATCACTTACGTAGGACGGCTCTGCAACGACGGATCGCCATGTTATCGATTTTCAGGCAAAAATTGATCGGAAAAGACTATATTTGAATATCGTTTGAAAGTTTATAACCAAATTGACAAAAATTGAAAATTCTATTACTGAATTGGCATCCGTACAATAAATTTATAGCCGATTGGGTAACTTTCTCGGAGTGTGGTAAAAAATGTATAGAAATGTGAGGTGGTTTTATTTGCAATAGAAAGAAAGAAGAGGGAAACGAATGGCCACGCAGGGGACCCCTACCATGACTCCATGGTTCACCATAAGGAGTCGACAGGGGAGCGCGAGGCCGGGTCAAGTGGGATCATTTGTGTGGGTCGTATCCCCCCCGGAAATCGAAGTGGATTTCAACCCTAAATTCCGAGGTTCCCTAAATCCAAAGGAAAGGAGATCCTTTGCCTGCCTTTTCCGGACGATTTGTGCCCTCTTTTCCTTTCTCTCTTTCTTTTACTTCCCTCTTTCCTTAGGGTTTCATGATTACCAATGGCGATGTTTCCTCTTAAAAATTCGAACTGGTTCATATTCTGTTAGTAACTTTTGTCTTGCGCACATGCCGGTCCTCGCTCACGGAGCCCACAAATTCATTTAGTCTCGACGGGAATTCTACTTTCTATCTTTAGAGCTTACGCATTTCTATATTCGGATTTTGGATTTTTTTTTCTTATTTTCCTCTTATCGAATTCTTGAAGTTACCTTGAAGTTCCGAATTCTGATACGATCAATCGAATGAAATGTCTATGTATGAGTTTGTTTGTGGGAATTATGTAGCCATCTCGAGCCAATTAGTTAATGTACGGGGACTGAACACTTCGAAAAGGATGACGACAAATCGAATTTTGAGAAATGAGATTTCTCAACATGAACATTGGCCAGGAGCTTTTCACATCAGATCTCAATGGCTCTAACGAGTACATCGGCTCCAATTAATTCGTTTAGGTGCGGAGAGAGGTCGATTAAACAGATTAAAAATTCAAGAATTTGATTGCAAATGACACACATATTCGAGGATCCAAAGTAGGCTTTTACCTAATTTGTATATATACACATTCACACCCGCATCATCGATGATCGAATTGAAAATAAAGAATAACAAAGAATATCGATACAAGGCAATATCGAGGCCGAATTAAAGTTCTCGATCTTCTCCCTAATACCGTGTTAAGCAATCATTTTTCTTTTGAAAGCATAGGCTGAAATCAAACCCACTATTTTCTTAAAACTTGATTTTGGTTTCGTCTCCTCCGAGAAGAAAAGGAAAAGGAGTCAAGGTCACATCCAAGCACTTCTTTTCAAGTCATTTTGACAAAAGGAAAGTAAAAAAGAGAGTGGTTGGCTGGCGCTGAGATTCACATCTTTTGATCTATTCCCAAGAATCAAATAGGATTCGATCTAGACACTAGGCCCAATTGAATAGAATATTTTAAAGGGGAAAATCGCTCTACAAGTCCTGAAATTTTATGTACCCACGAAATCAGGGTCCTAAATCTTTCTATCGGTTTAATCAAATTCTAAACCATTACCGAGAAGCATAATGAAGACATATTCCATTCGATTGGTGTAATTAAATTCTAAACTTTTATCGATAAAAGCAATTAAATCCCACCATTTATGTTTAAAGATGTCAAATAAGCAATTTTTGAGTTATACCAATTGTTCATAAGAAAGACTTGATTGCATTTTTTTTTTAATAAAGGTTTAGAATTTAATTTGAACCAATTAAATGGTCTAATCCTAGATTACATTCCGTACATAGAATTTAATACTTAACTTTTTCCTATTAAATATGATTAAAGGAGTATCACGAAAACATTTTTTAGTAGAAACTTTTCATTCTGGAAATAAACTAAATTAAAATTCCCACTATCAAATCAATTTTCCATCTTTTTGGGCAGGGACCATCATACAGGTTCTCAAAATTTCTCCTAAATAATAAAAAAATGAATATCAGATTGTACCTTCAGAATTCACGTGTGATGAAGAGGAGTTGGTAAAATCCTGATTATATCTACTTGCTGGTTGCTGCTGTCATGAAATAACCTGACTTTCCTGTCTTCTCGAACTTTACACCCTTCCCTCCTCAATCTAATCATTTTAACACACATCACCCGGATAAATTTTATTTTTTTTTTTTGTTTTTTGTTTACTTTTTATTCATTTAAATCTCGTGGCATTCACACTTTGATTTTCTTTTCTAACCTGAAAATATATGAAATATTCATTTATATATATATTTTAACGTGTATAGTCGTACATAAATTTTTCATAATTTTTAAAAATGTAAATAGTTTTTTGAATTTTGACGGGTAAAAAACAACATTTATTTTTTACATTTTGAAAAGGTTAAAAAAAAGGTTATACTTTCTGATTTCCGACATCTTGAGTTACGGTGACAAGATTTGTTAATCTTGAACTCTCGAAACACGAATCCATGAACCGACTTTGACGTGAATGAAATGTTCCGTCGCGAGTACCGGAAGTCTCGTAAAAACGCCCGAAATGATGTCGATGTGTGCTAATTGTCCATTCACATCATTTTATTAAGGGAAAAAAGCAAGAGGGACATAAAAACGTGCGAAAATCTTACTATCCACACCCCACGAGCTCATAACAAATGCATCAGCAACTATCCGGTTTCTTCTCACTTTCGTAGTTTTGCCATTAGTGTCGAATCGACGGCTGTTCCGCAAGTCCATCTTTCAAAGGTGAAACCAGCATTGATGATTACCTGCTCCGACCCTTTTTTTCAGTGGAGATATTGCAGGGCTTTGAGGGGACGGAAGCGTCACGAAAAGGTCTGCATGTCTCAACCGATTTCTCCTGCAGACGTTCGTCCCACTCTATATCTGCTCCTTGGGGTTGGTGACTTAGCACAGCCTAGTGTCGAGCGAAGGAGGCGGTGAATACGTCTGTCTAGTCCACAGGGTAGTTGACAAACTTCCGTCAGGATTGCTTCTGAGTCGGATTGTTCAGTGGAGACTAGTCATGACAGGGACTGTCACAAGCTTTCACGGCCTGTTGATGAAGATCAGCTCGAGGCCAATCAGTAGTTCGCATAGGGGTACTAGCTTTTTATTCACGCTGTCGCCTTGGGTAGTTATGATTTGAAAAATGAACCAACTATCTAAATCAACCCTGATGGATTTGTCTTTAGCTTGTGTATGTTTTTTTTTTTTTTTTGGTAACCCAGGGAACCCCCGCACGGCCGACAGCCGGGGAGTAAACCCTGGAGGCGACACGTGCTAGCCACCACACACGTGCCACCGGTTAAGTCACCCTGCGGCGCCCGGGATTCGAACACTCAACCTTTAGCTTGTGTATGTTGACAGTACTAACTTGGAAAAATACCATTTAACAGCGAAAACTATAAAATGCACTCGAAGAGTACAAATTCATCACACATGATCCATTTGATCATGTTAAACCCCACACGAGGCCGCCATAACTTCACGAGCACGTGTGCACTGAGCATGTTTAACCATGTGCATAAATGATGTCTCCTTTAGGCGAGGGAGGAGGATGTGCCAGCTCTCGAAAAGTTATAGCAACATTAGATACATCTGTGCCATTGAGTAATTTGAGGGGGTAATTTATAGTTAGGTCTACTGAATTGATGGTGAAAATTAATCATGATGAGCAATAACTTTTTTCCTGAACTACCCTTTTTTTCGTTCAGTTTTCATGCACTAATGTGCTGCTTAATAGGGCTTTAACAGAATGGAGAATTCGATAATTTGATTTAAACCGAACGAAAGGGATATGTGTGGATAATCAATTTACTATTGTTTTGGTTTTTATGTGACCTAAGTGATAATAGAAATATATAATAAATTGAATAACTGATTATCGTAAACTCACAGCCTGATTATAACTGATTATAGTTTCTATTTATGTTTTTGTATTATTCCATTGTAATAGAATTTTAGTCATGGACAACACTTCAAGAACTTATATTCAATTTACTTAAACTAATCGACAACTGAATATTTAAAATTATTAAATATAAAATGCATTACTTTGATTATTCGCGATACATTCTAAATATAAAAAATCACTATAATTATAGTTAATTGATTAATTGAACTTTTTCATCTACGATTTCTGTTTTAATCATCCTCACTTGTTTTGGAATTTAGTGAATTAATAGAAAGGGAAGGTTGATTGTGACCATCAAATGATATCCAACATTTACCGGACGAAGCACCACCAGCTCAATCAGCCCAAAACCCGAACCTCTAGCATTTCATCCAACTTTAGTTTGGTCTATCAACACAAAAAGCCTGGCTAAGGCCCAAAGTCTGGCCTGTTCATTGTAGCAGCTTGCCGGTAACGTATAATCCAAATGGCCAGGCTCCGGTCTTGCCAAAGTTGGACAGGCCGGGCTTTCTCAATTAGCACGTTGCCCAAGCTTGCCCATTTGCCTTTCATGCCTCTCGAGCCTGGGTGTAGTGTCGAGCGGGCTGCCAACCAGCCGATCAGCTCAACAAGTCTTCATTGCCTCGACCCTTGATCTCGATTCTTGCGTCGACGGCCGAGCTTTCTGCTATCATTTGTGACCATCAAGTGCTGTACTCCGTTCGTCGGACAAAGCAGCACTAGGATTCGTGCACCTTTTGTTCTGGTCGATCATGTGATCTTTTGGTGGACTTGCACTTTTCAATACCACAGCGTTGTAAAGCCTGTCTTATATTTGGGCCGCTGGTCCGCCAATTGTGTGTGACAAAATCTTGAGACAATCTATGTTATGGAAGTCAGGATGAACACGAGATATAAAAGATCCCTTCTGCTCAACAAAAGAAGTTAACATGAGAACATGACTCTAGCATTAAACTTGCAATAGCTGCCAATAAAAAAAAAAAGCAATTTTTTTCCTACAAATCTAAAGAAATCCTCTCGTTGGTGAATTACAGTATGTACACCCCTACATGCAATTCAATCAAGAATGAAAATGAGTGACATTTATAAATGTAACCACCAATTAGAGAAGTAAGTGAAGAAAACTCTTCTGGACCATGGAAGGATAAAACATTAACCCAGAAAAAATCAATGTGTTATTTCAAGCTGATAAACGTTGAAATAATGAGAGAGAAATACCGAAAGAGCCCTCTATTTTTGAAGCAAAAAGAGTAGGAAGGGCGACCAAGTAAGCGACACCCTCGGCAATACCTTAGAAGCTACACACCTGGGATCGTAATGTTCGGTTTAAGTCATAACCACTACTCATCTTGAGTGAGTCCGTCACCCTTGCGTGAACGGATGCAAATTGGGATAAAGTTCGAATTATTCTAAGCATGGTGCTCAAGCTGAACTTACGCCTTTAACAAATTAGGATTTCTTGAGATCGAGGAGCGACTAAGCTATTCGAACTCGTGATCAAGGGCCTCCAAACCAAGTAACAGTTTTCCACAACTTGTGATGAGTGATGTCCAAGATTTAGGCGTCAGATCGGATGACTTTTCTGTTTTCTTTTCGGTTCACCCGAACAAACTTTTGGTTTGGAAACATTCTTACTCCACCTAGAGACACCTCCGAATGGCACTCCACGCGTCCTTCCCTCCGGCTGCTCGCACCTTCTCATCGCTGCACGTAGCTTCTTCGCCGTCTTTTCGGCGAAACAAGGCTTCCCCCCATATAATCTGCATCACCATATGATCATCGTCATCCCCGTCGCCAGTTCCAAATCGATCTGCATCAAACCCAAAAGATCACTCTCGACATCCTATGGCGAGCGACGAGTTCAGGCTGGTGTCTCCGCCGATCGACCGGGAGGGGAAGCTGCCAAGGAAGTACACCGACAACGGCCAAGGCGCTCTCAAGAGCGTGTCTCCGCCGCTCGAGTGGTAAAACGTTACGATCGTCTCCGACGTCTTCTTTCGAGACCAACGAGAACGGAATCCGGGCAGACCCCGGTTTTTTTGCTCTTGCGTTCGTTGAGTCGATTTGCAGATCATTCTTAATGTTATTCGATCGAATGCATGGGTTAGGTACAACGTGCCGGAGGGGACACGGAGCCTCGCCCTCGTGGTGCAGGACATCGACGCCCCCGACCCGAGCAGCCCGATCGTGCCGTGGACGTGCTGGGTGGTGGCCAACATCCCGCCGCACCTGAAGGGCCTCCCCGAGGGCTTCTCGGGCAAGGGGGAGGAGCTCCGCGGCGACCACGCCGAGATCCAGGAAGGCAACAACGACCACAAGGTGCCGGGCTGGCGAGGGCCGAAGCTCCCGTCCCACGGGCATCGCTTCGAGTTCAAGCTCTACGCCTTGGACGAGAAGCTTAACCTAGGCCACAAGGTGTGTGAATGGCACAGCCCCCTTTCAAACGGAGCTCAGTCTCACCATCTTTACGTATATGGAAAATGGTGTGAGAGTTACGTGTTATGGTGATTTTCAGGTGACCAAAGAGAAGCTGCTGGAGGCGATCGAAGGGCATGTTCTTGGAGAGGCCTTGCTGGTTGCTAAATTCTGAGGTTGGATGTCACAATTCTTGTTATGTACTCCTAGCAAATTGAATAATAGAGTTGATCCATTAAGAAAAGCTATGTAAAAGGGTCATAGTGCAAGTTCACTAATCCAAGGTAAAAGTGAGAGAGCCCACTTCCCTTTGTTCAATTCTCTTCCCTTCCTCTTCACTGGGTGGTGCCTTCAGACTCTAGCCTTTCACGGAGAAGGGCAACTTTTAAGGTTTCATTTGTCTCGCGGAAACGTTTTTGTTCTTATTTTTATTTTTTTATAGAGACGGTGGAAGTTATCAAAAGATAATCGCTTCTACCTCTCACACGGGTACCTCTCAAACACACCCCATCATGGGCGAAGACATCCCTTCACGGGTGAACTGCTAAAATGTAACAGAAGTAATTAATCGTTGAAAATGAACGAATCGTTGATTAAAATGTAACCGGAATAATTAATCGTTGAAGAATATTTTTATTATCGATAAAAATAAATGATAAAATATTTTTATAGAAGGTGAAATATTAATTTTAAGAAAAAAAATGTTTTCCAAATTTTTTTTTAAAATTTTTCACGAGATAAACGCACCCTTAGAAATGCCTGCTTACTGAAGTCTTTGAATGAAGATGAAAAGAGAGAGAGAGAGAGAGAGAGAGAGGGGGGGCAAAAGTGTGGTAGGCTTCGGGCATCATACCTCCACCGGGAGACTTGTGTATTTCGTAAGGGGATTGTGAAGCTTTGCTCCCCAAGTAGGGCACGTCTCCCTTTTTGGGTCTACTCTCCGTTGGACTTACATAATTAATGCCCCACCAAATAGAATATTTTAGGAATGGGTGACTAGAGACTCGGGAAAAGGAGATCAGCAAAGCAATAATTTTTGAATAATGCTCGCTTTTCTGTCGTAACTTTTTAGTTGGTCATTTAAGCAACATAATTTTTTTTTTAAATATTTATTTGAGTGACGTCGATGATCTCTCTCTCGCCGAAAAAAATTCGACTTGTCATTAATTTTATATAAATCGTCCAACATAACATGCTGGGAAAAATGGTATCATCAAAAGCATGTAGAATGGTGCCTTTCCATGTATTGTCTTTTCGAATTTGAGTCGTTTCTTCGTGGATGATGCTGTTTTTGTGCAATTAGATGCTCCATATGACAGTCAGTTTGATTCTGTTCTTGACGAGATCGTCGTCGTCGTTGTTGTTGTTCTTCTTCTTCTTCGTGCTGTGTGTTACCAGGTAATCGTAGCTAGGGTTTCAAAAAATTATAGGTCGATGGATGCACCCGCGCGAGAGAGAGAGAGAGAGAGAGAGAGAGAGAGAGAGAGAGAGAGAGAGAGAGAGAGATTTAGTAAAAAAGCTTCTTTCTTGACAGACTCGAGAGGAGAAAATTGTCCAAAAAGTCTTAAACCTATTGCATTTTTGCTAATTCAATTCTAAACTTCTTAACTTTATCAATCGAGTTCTAAATATTTTCACATTTTTTCAATTAAGTCAATTCGATCAATTTTGGCATGAAATCGCTGATGTGAATGCTAGTTGTCGCACAGCCGGCGTTGATGTGAACAATTTTTTTAATTTTCAATTTTAATTTTCCTTTTTTTCTTTTCTTTCTCTTTTTTTTTTCATCCTTTCTTTCTCCAACTAGTCGCTGGGCCTCGGCAATCTGCTAGAGACGAGGGCTGGCTGTGCCACGGAGGACGGTCGGCGTCCATATCGGCGATTTCCAGCCAAAAATTGATCGGATTGACTTAATTAGCAAAACGTGAAAAAGGTTTCGGACTCGATTGGCAAAATTAAAAAGTTTAGGACTGAACTGACTAAAGTACAGTAGGTTCAAGACTTTCTAAACAATTTTCCCGGACTCGACTCGAGGGAGAAACTTCTTCGGTGTTGCTTTTAGGGACCGCAAGGCAACATCAATTATCCCTTGACGAGAACACCGACCTCGTCTAAAATCCGTATACGAAGTCCCCAGTACCGTCTTTCCCCAAAATGGTCACCATCACATTTGAATCCCCCCCCCCCCCCAACCTTAGAAATTGACCATACCAATTTGCAGCCACTCTCTCCCAAAATCCCATTTCAAATCCCCCTCTCACGCGGGTCAAGGGTCTCTTTTGGTCTTGATCGGGGGCGCTCGTCATCATCATGTTTTTCCTCCGCACCGCGTCCCACCAGCATCACGTTCCTCCTCTCCTCTCACTCGCTCGCTCGGGGTCTTCGTCGTCGTCGCCACTAACCAGAACTCGGTTCCATTGACAAATCTTAGCACCGTTTCACACTCCAATCCGTCCTTCCTTCGTACGAAGAAACGAACCTTCCGAGGACTTTGCAAAAACACCCTAGCTCAGGCCCTCATCATCGTGCGCCCTTTATTTTAATCCAGCGTGCATCGATATTCGCGAACCCACCATTTCCAATCAATTCACGCGAAACAAGAACCAGAAACCAGCAACTAGTAGACCGCTTTCTCAGGATACTCTCTCCCCCCTCTGGTTCTCGGTTTCCTTCTTCGGGTCAGTTGGAGCTCGGTTGAGGGTTTCGCACGCCGCGTAGCCATGGTGGTGACGGCCGCCGCCGCCGTCCCCCCCCTGGCCCAGGCCTACGGGGCCCACCTCCCGGCGGTGCCCGAGTGGCTCAACAAGGGCGACAACGCGTGGCAGATGACGGCGGCGACCCTGGTCGGGATCCAGAGCATGCCGGGCCTCGTGATCCTCTACGCGAGCATCGTCAAGAAGAAGTGGGCCGTGAACTCGGCCTTCATGGCCCTCTACGCCTTCGCGGCGGTCCTCATCGTCTGGGTCCTCGTCGGGTACCGGATGGCCTTCGGGGACCGCCTCCTCCCCATGTGGGGCAAGGGCGCGCCCGCCCTCGGCCAGAAGTACCTCATACGCCGGGCCAAGGTGCCCGGCACGCTGGAGACGCCCGCTGACGAGCCCTTCTACCCCATGGCCACGCTCGTCTACTTCCAGTTCCAGTTCGCAGCCATCACCATGATCTTGCTCGCCGGCTCGGTCCTCGGCCGGATGAACATAAAGGCCTGGATGGCCTTCGTGCCGCTCTGGCTGATCTTCTCCTACACCGTCGGCGCATATAGCCTGTGGGGCGGCGGTTTTCTCTACCGATGGGGCGTCATCGACTACTCCGGCGGCTACGTCATCCACCTCTCGTCGGGCATCGCCGGGTTCACCGCGGCTTATTGGGTACGTACCGAATGAAAAAAGGGCCAAGTAAATTTTACATAGTCCTTCCAGCACTATCCACTACAACCTTATCATCAAAACTCATGAAATTTTTATATACTCAATGACTTTCAAAACGTAAAACCACGATCTGTTATGAAACCTCGTGTCTCTGAACATGTCCATGCATCCCTTCCGGCCGGGACCATTTTGTGGAAACTCGATAGCACCTCGAGCTTAGAACAATTAAATAAATGTCGCCAATCTCGATTCAATGCTCTAATTTGATTTTAATGATTTAAATTGCTGGCGGTTTTTTAGGTCGGGCCGAGGCTGAAGAGCGACCGAGAGCGGTTCTCTCCTAACAACGTCCTGCTCATGCTGGCCGGGGCGGGCCTGCTGTGGATGGGCTGGTCCGGGTTCAACGGCGGGGCCCCGTACGCGGCGAACATCACCGCCTCCGTCGCCGTCCTCAACACCAACATATGCGCGGCCACGAGCCTCCTGATCTGGACATCGCTCGACGTCGTGTTCTTCGGGAAGCCGTCGGTGATCGGGGCGGTCCAAGGGATGATGACGGGTCTAGTTTGCATCACGCCCGGAGCAGGTAGCATAGATACTTTGTCAACTTATTTTATCACCACAAATTTCGGGATTAGGTTAAGTTGTGGAAACTTAATTCAATGGGAGGCACGATTATGATTGGAGTTGACTAGGAATGTCAATAATTTTCAGGCGTCGTGCAATCGTGGGCGGCTATAGTAATGGGGATGCTTTCTGGCAGCATTCCATGGGTCACTATGATGATACTCCACAAGAAATCTAGTCTTCTTCAAAAGGTAAAAAAATAATAATTTTAGAGCAATTACGTATGTGAAGTTCTATTCATCCTCTACTTTTCAGAAATTACCATTGTGCATGTTATGCTTTCATGTTGGCTACCAAGTTGCATTCCCACGTGAGTTAATTGTTCCGTAGAAGATAAATAATTTAGAAAATATTTTTCTTCTCAAATTACTCCCGCTCTCCTTTTAAATTCCCTCGACTTCCGATGCAAACCCTAGTTCCCGGCCACCCTAACCAACTTCAGCCACTTCTGTCCGCCGCCTCCGACCGCCATCCGCGTGTCCCAAGTTGTGGCCATCCTCCGTCCCACGCCATCTTTAGTGTCGTCGCTGTCCCCCGTCCTTAATTTGAGGCCACCGGCCTCCTCTAGCCCGTGGACAAAAGAAAGGGACGGCGCATAGAAAAGAGAAAGAGACGGGCACCAGCGACGAGAGTCAAATGAGGTTGCCTACAACGGGGGCGGCGGCAGCGGCGGCGGCTTGACGACGGCCGGTCATAAGGCATTGGGTGGTGGGTCAGATTGCCGGAAATGGAGGCTAGGATTTGGGTTGGGGGAGTCGAGAGGGCGGGCGGTAATTTTTTATATAAGAAAGGGTAATTTGTTCTTTTATAATTTGAGGCTTAGCAATGCCCAAGTGGCTGCATGCATTCCCACTACTTTTCCCAATTTTTGAACAGTCGACTCTTAACGATGGTAATCTATTGCAAGTTGGTCGAGTGATTAAGATTGAATCAAATACGGTACATACATAATCTATTTTGACCAAATAACTGTTGTCCTTTGTCGGGAGTCAGATACACCAAGGCCTGATCATAGTTTCCATGTTAACAAACCATAGATGATAGAAAAAAAAAAACCATGATCTGACTTATGTTTCGCGGTCGCTCGTGATCAGGTCGACGACACGCTAGGCGTGTTCCACACGCACGCTGTCGCCGGATTGCTTGGGGGGCTTCTCACCGGGCTCTTGGCCGAGCCGGAGCTCTGCGATCTCATACTGCCGGTCCCGGACTCGAGGGGCGCGTTCTATGGCGGCTCGGGCAGGGTCCAGTTCTTGAAGCAGATCGTCGCGGCCTTGTTCGTGATCGGGTGGAACATACTCTCTACGACCATCATTTGCCTCGGCATTCAGCTGGTCGTGCCGTTGAGAATGCCCGACGAGCAGCTCATGATAGGCGACGACGCGGTCCACGGGGAGGAGGCTTATGCGCTCTGGGGCGACGGAGAGAAGTACGACCCGACGAGACACGGCTGGAACAACTCGTCGTCTCATGCGGTGGAGCTCATGGCGCCTTCGCCGTATATAAATGGCGCTAGAGGCGTAACCATTAATCTGTGAGCTCGCTGCTTGTTCTCGCTCGATCGTGCAATGCGCGGACGTACTCTTGGAGGACGAATCGACTGTATATAAATGTTTCGGCGGCGCGAGAATTCGAGGCTTATCAAGGAAGTTGTCTTGTTGTAGTCAAACCTTAAATGACACTCATAGTGTTCTTGTACGTGTGCGTGTGTTTTGGGAAGAAGTTATTAAAAAAAGAGGGTTATAAATCTATTGTAATTATTTCAATTCAGTCTTAAGCATTTTTTGTTTTGCCAATCGAGTCCTAAACCTTTTGCATTTATGGCAATTCAGTCCATCTGGCTAATTTTGACCGGAAATTACTGACGTGGATAATTTATATATATATTTTAAAATATTATGATTTTCTTTATTATTTTATTTTATTTCTGTTTTATCATTGTGGCCGGCGAGGTCGCCGGTCGGGCGAGACTCGACCTCGTAATCGCTAGGCGAGGTTGACCCTCACTAGTCGCCAACAGTTGGGCTGGTGAGGGTCGGGCCTCTCTGACCATAGGCGTGGTCCGACCTCGTCAACTCCGAGGAGGTCGTGCCTTGGCCAGCCACCGACGAGAGCGGCCCTCGACAGAGGCTCAACCTCGCCAAATTTGGTGAGCGTCAAGCCTCGCCCATGGCCGGCGAATCTAGCAAGGGTGAGCCTCGCTAGCCCAGCCCTGGCAAGGTCGACCTCGCCGGTCCAATGATAAAAGAGAAAAAATAAATCATAATAAAAAAATCATAAAATTTTTAAAAAATTATCCACGTCAGAGCTATGTCAGTAACTGGTCAAAATTAGCTTGATGAATTGAATTGGCATAAATACAAAAAGGTTTATAATTCAATTGGCCAAAAAAAAAAGTTAGAATTGAATTGGCACAATTACAATATATTTATGACTTTTTTGGTAATTTTTCAATGTTTTGGTGAATAGAGAATCTAAAGCAAACCAATTATCACCCTCAGCCTGTCTCACTCGAGGGGAAAATTACCAATTTACTCCTCAACCTATTGCATTTGTGCCAATTCAGTCCTAAACCTTTCAATTTGGCCAATTTAGTCCTAAACCTTTTGCAAACCAGCCAATTCAGTCCTTTTGGCCGGCCGGCGCTGACGTGGCCACAGGCCGGCTGACGTGGCACCGGCCGGCGTCCAGATGGCAATATTTTAATATTTTTTTTTTTATTATTTTTGATTTTTTTTTCCTTCTCCCCCCTAGCCGGACAAGCCTGGGGGGAGGCTCGCCGGCGAGGGCCCAGCTCCGGCGAGGCGAGTTGGGCCCTCGCCGCCGTTGGGCGAGGGCGGAGCTCGCCCTGCCATGGCGAGCTCCGCCTCGCCCAGCCATGGCGAGCTGGGCGAGCGGCGAGGGCCCAGCTCACCATGGATGGGCGAGCTCCGCCTCGCTTAGATCCGGCGAGGCGAGCTCACCATGGCCGGGCGAGCTCCGCCTCGCCCGAGCCGGGCGAGGCGGAGCTCGCCTTGGCCGGGCGAGCTCCGCCTAGCCCGAGTTGGGCGAGGCGGAGCTCGCCATGGCTGGGCGAGCTCCGCCTCGCCCGATCTGGGCGAGGCGGAGATCGCCTTGGCTGGGCGAGCTCCGCCTCGCCGGAGTTCGCCATGGCTGGGCGACCTCCACCTCACCAGATCTGGGCGAGGCGGAGCTCGCCTTGGCCGGGCGAGGCGGAGCTCGCCTTGGCCGGGCGAGCTCCGCCGCCCGCCAGATCCGGCGAGGCGGAGCTCGCCATGGCGAGGCGAGCTCCGCCCTCGCCCAGATCCGGCGAGGCGGAGCTCGCCATGGCCGGGCGAGCTCCGCCTCGTCGCCGCTGGGCGAGCTAGCCCAGCTCCGGCGAGGCGGAGCTCGCCTTGGCTGGGCGAGCTCCGCCCTCGCCGGCGAGCCTCCCCCCTGGCCGGACAGGCCAGGGGGGAGAAGGAAAAGAAAAAAAAAGAAAAAAGAAAAAAATTCGAAAATAATAATAATAAAAATATTAAAATATTGCCACGTAGACGCCGGCCGGCGCCACGTCAGCCGGCTGGCGGCCACGTCAGCGCCGGCCGGCCAAAAGGACTGAATTGGCTGGTTTATAAAAGGTTTAGGACTGAATTGGCCAAATTGAAAGGTTTAGGACTGAATTGGCACAAATGCAATAAGTTGAGGACTGAATTGGTAATTTTCCCCTCACTCGAGCATTAATCATCCCTTAATACCTCTATTCGACACAGCAATAATATGATTGAGAACATCAAATGAGCCGAGAGAGTTAACGGATTACAAAAATTATTCGTGTTCTCTGACTGAGACACGCTAAGATAATCCTGCAATTTCAGTACTCGAATCGGCATCTGAGAAAATGGCAATATGTGGCGCGAATAAGGGTGCCTTGATCTGCGCCTGGTCTTCATTGTCTTTGGTGTTTACCTCAATAGATGTATGGACCACGACGCAAGTACTTAGCTTGTCGCAGCACCTACTTTCAAGTTCTGTCTAATATCTTCTAGTACCAGTTGCAATTGTCGGAAGTCGGGAGTGTGCAGGTCGAACGAGGGAGGCCGCTGGAAAACGACCGATGCCACCCGAATCAGAATTCTCGCTGTCAATCCGCATATGCAGAAAGTCTCTCGCTCTGGTTGGTAATCGAAAACATGAAGAATGTACTTCCATCCTAGCCATTCTCTCTCCTCACATCTGTGATTCTCCTCCTGTATTGGTCCAACACAAACGTAACTGTTAGACTATGACCAAATTTTTTTTATTAATGGAACAGATTAGCTGCTAAATACTGAAACGGTATCATGTCCCATTGCATACGCTCCTTTTCTTTTCACTACTATGTCTCTTGCAAGATTGATGAAATCCATGTTTAGTCAAATCAAGGATACAAGCAAATTCAGTCGTTCAATTCACTTTCAAAACTGATACTATAAAATGGGTATGTCAGATGACTCTTGCCCAATATAAGCACAAGCAGATAGGATCTTGAAGAGGGGAATTGTAATGGGTAGAGGAAGAAACCTTCAGAAACATTTCCAAAGGGACGTCAAAAACCACATCCACTTCATCCACATTCAGTGAAGGTGTGAAATCTTCTATCTTTGCGAGTAGGCCAATGACAGGAACGACCTCGAAGAGATGCTGGTGTAGCGCAATGGATAGGACACAAGTGAATGATTGAGCACAGATACAAAAACAGTAAGGCAATAATTTATCATAGGGGAACCTGAGAAAAGAAGGGTTCCAAATTAGCAACAACTTGAACCAATTCTGGGTCCAAGCCGATCTCTTCCGTGGCTTCTCTTAGTGCAGTTGCAGTGTCATCCTTATCATGTTCTTCCATTTTTCCACCCGGCAGTGCGACATCTCCTGTTTCTCAAGTGACAGAATCATGGATTGTCATTTTTGTTCTTGCAGAGGATGAAACTGAGGTCTCCATAAGTTAAACAATTCTCAGCAACAAGTAAGTCAACAATGTTAATATCTGTATTCACCTAATAAATGAATTGATTCATGGTCACTAACATGCCTCTTTAAGGATTTTGAACTTTAGAGATCTAGAGATCATTGATTGGAACATGAAGATCTTGCATGGCCTTATCATTGAGAGGTCAACTGGATACTTTGTCCATTGTCCATGTTCATAATTCAAGTCCGAAACAAAACTAGCTAATATCTTGGAAGGTTATGTGACCTCAACAGAAGATATCTTCGTTTACATCAAATTCAATGGATAACCGTTGTGCAACAGAGTTGTATTAACGCATAAGCAAATGATTATGAACAATCTACATGAGGCAGAGAGTTCATATATACCAGGATAAGAGGACAGTTTCATCGATCTTTTCGTGAGAATAACTCGAAGCTCTCCTCCGTGGCCTTCGAAGAGGCACACCAAGACGGCGGCTCTTCTCTTCCTCCTCGGCTTGATGGGACAACAACAATCGTCATCTTGAGCACACTGGGATTGATCATTTGGCCCATCTTTGGAGTTTGTAAATAGATCGCTATTCTTCTCTTCATGATCAACTTCTAATCCTAGTGACAATTCGCACAGTCGGAGCCGGTTCGCGAGTTCGCGCAGAGTTTCACTCGCCACTCCTGAAAGGTTCCCCATGCGTGCATGCCGAGGTCATCTAGCATCCCGAATGGCTTTGATTATATTGTAGATATTCCACTTTTTTTGTGCAACTTGTCTGGGAATATCTGTTATCTGTGGTAGCCATGGCTAGAATCTAAATGGAGAAATTCTCATGGAACTAGGAATAGAATCTCACTTTGGTTTGTTACTTAGCACGATTTCGAAAGTGTTTCGCTAAACATTAATCGGTGTATAGTCTCAATCAAGAAGCAATCGGCAGTTCAGAAGTCGATAATTCACTTTGTTCCATAAACATCACCGTAAACCATGTCCATGATCATAAATGTCTCCCCTTTGCCCCTCTTTCCTCTTTTTCGCGTCTCTAAGATGGAAAAACAAGAATCATAATCAGCATGACTCATCATCTTGCAGGAGAAAAAGAAAATCTTCTTCTGAGTAGCATCTGTAAAATAGGCATGTTGCATTAAGTTCTCGCACAGCAGGTTGCAAGGTAAGCATCACGACTAACCGCATAACCACGCCTAATTTAGTCCCAAGTGAAGGGGGTAAATGGATTTCGAGTTCAGGAGATTAATGCTAACCAAATAGGCATCACCATTCGTCCCTCCTAACTCAAACTCAAATGGAATGCGAGGCTCGGGTTTCAATTAATGGGGGCGGAGGGAGGGGGGTGAGTCAAGAAAGATTGTAGAGAAACCAAAGACGGTGTACGTCTGGAAACAGAACCTCTCCGAGGAAAACTTATCAAACCGATCAAGGAATGGCGCCCAATATATATGTTAAGGTTGCTTAGGGGGCAGGCTATGAGTTCATTTGAGAGGTGCCCCGGTATCAGCGGATCAAAGTTTGTAGAAATGGACTCCCAGCTGCTGCTTTCAGAGATTGAACAGGAAATAAAGCAGAGAAGGGCTAGGCTGCCATGGATCGGACTCTGTTCCACGTTCAATTCTCATAGTCTAGTCTTGTACCTGAAGACCCTCCATTTTGGAGGTGACTATTTCTTTGTTTTTTTTGCACCGAAACAAACGCTGATGTTGTGCCAAGTAGTCACGGCCAAAAATTATTGGAGGGTGGCTATTACATCAACTGGAAATCCGGGAAATAGATTTGTACTCCAATGAATTATTGGGTGACATGTGACAAGGTCAATCAACGGACTACACGAAACTTAATTTGCCCAATCATGCGGTAATGCCCGACGTTTGGCCAGTATGGATGAAAGCACTGGCATCTTGACGGACCGCAAGTTACATTGCCTTTCGGCTGAGAATTTGGAATACCTTTTGCAAGTTGTCACGAAGGAGAATGATGGCGAATTCGCAAAGCGGTAATCGATTGTGATGGAACCGAGGCATAAAGAGACCCCCAAAGGGGGGAAAAAGAGAGAAATGAAAGGTGGGAGGTGCAGTCGAGTTCTCGAGTTCTCGAGGAGGTTATTTCGATCTCGCATTTTGAATCGTATTCGATATCATGTTGGAAAATTCAAGCCGGCAACAACATTTCGAGTCGGATTGTGAGGAGGTAATTGATCGACGTTCACTTGTTCTCGATTTGTGGAATGCTATCTATTGGGAGCGCAGCATAAATCCAATACCATCACTTGGAAATATCGTCAAGAGAGAGCCTAAATACAACTTGATCAACATATTCAATTGGACCAACAATACAATAGAGAGTCTAAGTCTGAACTAATCAACATAATTGGACCAACTTTTACTCAAATGGCGATGAGCAAAGGAACCGACCGGTTTTGGGGCGGTTCCCGGTTCCTAAAATTTGGAACCAGTGATAATAGGTCAAGTTCCCAGTTCTGGATGGGACCGAACCACCCATACCAGACCAATAGCTTTCTTTTTTATTGCCAAAGGGCTGGAGAAGAGAACAAAAACAACGTTGATAGACACAATTACATTTTTGCGAGTGTCCAGTTCCAGTGTTCCATTCCCTACCAGGAAATAAGAAAGAAAAAAGAAAGAAATCACGCCGGTTCCCGACTCATTTAGGAATCGAACCGAACCAATCAAGTGGGTTGTTTTCATGTACCGACCCTTATTCCGATGAATTATGGGCCAACTAGAATATATTAACTGCATCATATCATACTATGTCAATTCTTTGTTATGGGACACACATGTCTCAATACTATTTTTTACTTGATTTATGGGTAAAATTACGAAAATCTGAATCGGGCGGTGAATGGAGAGAGAGAATGTGTTGACATGAAGAAGCATTTGCACCGGATTCATATTACCAATCAGATTTTATAAATTTGACGTGGGATCCATATGATATGATGTACGAGCTGACATGTACGACACGCACCTGTAGGCTGGTGCTTTGATAGTCGTTTGATGCTACGCTCGAGAGAACAACTTGGCCGTGAAAGTCCCGCTGTTACTTGATCCTCTTTCGTAGTGGGCCGCGAATGGTCCTTGGGAAACCTGTCCCGTGCATGGGACAAGGGACCCCCAGGGTTTGGGGCTACGATGGACCAAGCCCTACACATGAATTTCCCTTCGATGATGTACCATCTTTCAAACACGGGCATCTTAGTGACACAGGAAAAAACCATCTCAGAATGGACAAACGATGAAGGACGGAACAGCTTTCATATCAGATTGACTCGTGACTCTTTGGTACCGAGCGAAATCGGATTTACTACTAGATATGTCGAATGAGCTCGCTCCCTTTCGAACATTTTCGTTAGAAGAAATCAGACTTTTAACGTCTCATTTCGTGTGTTGAATTATTGTCCCGCATCGCTTGACAACGGGCCCTATATGCTTTTTAAATTTATGTGATTTTCCATCGTCTAACTCTTAAGCTTTTGAATTGGACTTTTCAATATAGTATCAAAATTAGCGATATCCTTTCGCGTATGTTAGTCAGCAATTGCATCTGCGCGTCACTAGATGCAAAACAGAAGTTATCCAGGTTTTACTTACAAAGGACCCTCCGACGGTGCTTAAGTCGGCTTTCGCCGAGCTCCTTCCAATAAAAACCTGGAATGTCTTTTCTGTTTTCTCTTTTCAACCATCACTATTGAACTCTGGTTGGACGTAAGGAGCGATTCCTCAGGACGGTTCGACCCATCCAAGCTCTCCCACACACCAAGTGACAAAAGAAACCTGACTTTTCCATCTCCGACCCCCACGAGCATGGAAACAGTGAATCACTGAATTACTAATCAACTTCTGTTTGCCTCATCTTATACATTCATTCTTATCTTCTTGCTGCCAAGAACAACTATACCTTGTACAATGCTGAAATATCTTCACGGGTCCCGAGCCCAGAAGAAAGTTCACAATAGGGTAGATGCCAAGATTGTCCGTGGCTTCCTCTGGTAGTGTTCGTGAACCTCGTTCCAATACCTGGTGCTTCCGCTCTTGGTAATAGATTCTCTGGGTCCCATATTAGGCTTCAATTATGCAGTCCTATGATGTTACAGCCTCTTACTCGGACTGTTCGTCGGGTCCACTCCAATTTTTTCCTCGGGACTATCCATCGTGGAAACAAGCGATCAAACGAAAAAATAAAATAGAATAATAAAGCAAATTGAATGCTAGATTTATATAGTTCGGCTAGCGTGACTTATGTCCATGGGGAGAGCAATACAGAATTCCATTATAAATCAAGCAATATTCGAGTCACCCAAACACTCTTGGTATTTTTCAACCTCCAATTATACTCAATAACTTTACAGTGGTTAGCCCCACATGTTCTCACGGAATAATATTTTAATCTTGCAAAGGAATTCACAAATCTTACTACAAGATTAGTTGGCTTCAACGTCTCGGATTGCTTCAGGGTGTAATTTACAAAGAAGTAGCTTCTCAGATACTCTTCACAAAGAACACCATTGCTTGTATTGAAGAGATTTAAATCGACAACAGGAAACATACTTAAACTAGGTAACCATAAGGCCCACTCGATAAAATGCCGAATGAGCCCTTCGATCATAAAGGTTATAAGAATACGGTTGGCGCACAAAACTCATCGATGGAATGTTTGAGGAGCTCACCGATCATGAGTATCAAATGAGCAGAGTTTAAGTGAAGTTCATAACACGTGCTGACAATTGATTGACTTGAAACATGACAGGAAGTTGAAGACTAAGCCATGAAGGATCCATTGACCAAGGGATAACTGTAGCTAAAGGATTGGGAGCAAGTACATAACATCCCTGGAGGAGGGCGTAAGTCATGAGGCAATTAGAGATTCTTGCAAAGGAAGATCGGGATGAATCATGGAATGACTCATAAAGATACAAGAGGAATAAAAGAACATAGCTCGCAGCACACATTCTACATAGAGTATACACTATGAGCAAAAAATAAAACAGCATCAATGGCATCCGAAATCGCAAGGAGCTTGCCAGATTTTGAAGAAGATCGCTTGAATAAGATTTTGCTTAAGTTTGAATTTAAATTCAAATTAGATTGGGTTTCCCATTTCCAGTACTTCGATTAAAAAAAAATTTCCAGCCATGTCTTGTATGCCTTTTTCTTTCCCTAGCACTTTTGATTTCCTTTAAGAAGCTTATGTCCAATTTTAGTTATCAAGCAAATATGGCGTGTGGCATCCAAGAATGTAAACCATACGTTCTAATTCAATCAAGTTTCTTATAGTTTCCTCATTTATTTTGAATTGTCCACGAATTATTTTAGTAACATGAATTTTACAAAGTCATTGGGGCTTCAAGGCAAATCCATTCTCTTTTGAATAGAAGTCATAATCGATACTTTAATTGGCCATCGAACATCCTCGATATGAATAGAAGTCATTGTGAAGCTAATGCCTCCAATAATCAGGAGTTGAGTCCTAACCCATCAAGAGCCTCCAAGGCTAGAGATGGTCCTGAGGATCGAATTAGGCGACACACTCTCTTTGAGGAAGACAACGACGACTACCCTTGATCTGGATTCAGCCTAGGTAAACCTAGGCACTATGAGGCATTCTTTAGGAGAAGGGAACCATCGCAAATGGCCCCTAGAGAGGCCAATCTATAATGATGGTAAGAGATCTAGAGAACTACACCTGCCCCCACGAGGAGGTTAGAAATAGAGAATATTAGGAAGGACTCAGTGAAAATGAACCGAGAAATAGCTAATCCTCTCAATAGGAGAATATTTGGCTAGGATGGTAGAGCATCCCTATGGACCTTGACTTTGAAGGAACAATATGCCCGTGTATAGGAAGCCACATTCAGATCACATCAACAAAAGTTACTGGGATAAGGACATCATAAATATCCCAACTTTTATACGGCAGTTCGAGTGTTATAACTTATTTTTCAACCACTTAGGTATCAAATTGGTTAAAAATTATTTTCTTTAGTGTTATGGCCGATTTGTATGGCCGGAAAATCCGATGTGGCATTAAACTATTATAAATCGGCCGAAAAAGAAAAGAGTTTCAATCGATTAATTATTTCAAGCGAAACAATCGGTCATTTTTGGAAAAAATATTTTTTAAATCAATATTTTTTCTCGAAACAAACGGAACTATAATGATGTTTAAAAAAGCTAGAATTAGGTGTAAAACCAATCTCCCAGACGAAAAGTTCCTCTCCCCAGCCCAAGGAGGGCTTTACATCGTGCCAAGGAAGAAGTTCAAGGGAGAAATCTTTAGCGATCTCTTTGGATTGTCCCGAAAGGCCACCAAATACAAGAGCATCGTCATCAAGGAAGAGGTTGCTATAGAGAACTCTTCCCGAGGCACTTCCAGTGTGGAATCTTTGCACATATAAGGTTGGTACACCTGAATTCGGGGAAGGAAACCCTGGAATATCTGATGCATTGAGTGAAAAAGAAGCAAAAGGTAAATTTGTCTTTGCTTAGGGCAGCATAGAGAAAAATCCGAGACAGGTGCACCCGAACATGTGAAATTATTTGGAACATAAAAGTTGACTTAAAATACCCCAATCACCACATAAAAGAGACTACATAGAACACACTCATCAAATAATTTGTCGTTTGTTATGTAACTTGCGAGATTAGCT